ATTTTTAAAAGGAATTAATTCAGTTTAAAAATTTGATTGATCCGACAAAAGAAAAACCAATATTGAAAGTATTAATAGTTTTATTTTGATTGTTTTCAGAAGTAGAATGATTAAAAGTTTAGTAAACCTCTAACGAGTGAATATTTCCAGGTGTTAAGAAGTTTTTGAGATGAAATTTTGTCCACAAGTAGTAGGTGTAGAGATGAGAGAAAGTCTAAGCGAATATGGTCGCAAGTTGCGATTTACCTGAGATATCGACCTTCTACTAGAATTTTCATGCGGGAACCTACTTTTGCGATAGAATCAAAATTTCGAATTTTGATCTAAAACTTGACCCATACCAAGGCTTTAACCAGATGAACCTGCTTACAAAGTTTCAGATTAAAATTCGAAACTTTGATTCTACCGCAAAAATGAGATCCTGCAGAAAAATTATAGTCAAATATCAATATCTCAGTCAAATCGCAACTTGCGTTCATATTCTCTTAGGTGTTCTCTAGTCTATCTATCAGGAATCCACGTGAGATGGCATAATTCCATCGGCCCTATGGGATGCAACTCTTTTTGGAAAAACGTTCTATGGGATAGGATAAGACTGAACATTTGCAGAATTATTCCATCCCATGCAAAGCTTTCAAAAGCATTCTATCCCATGGGACAGACATCTTTTACAATAATCTTTTTTTTTTATAAAGATAACAAAGTTGTTTCGAAATAGATGCCTTTCTCGCCGAAATGTGATTTCAGTTATGATGGAATTATGAAATACAAAATGAAATGATGTCAAATTTAGTAGTGGTGAGAAGGTCGAAAGTTTGAGGATGAAATGTATCTTCATATTTTGACTGATTAAGAGTCCAGCAACAATTTCAAAAATTTCAATTAGAATTAGAATTTTTGTGGAAACCATAAGTTAGGGGTTATGAACTAATCTTTATAAGATCTTAAAATAAATTTCTGAGGGAGAAAGTTGTACTAGCAGATCTAAAGACGGAAAATACGACCACATTCTGTTTGAAATTAGTTCGATGATGATTTTCTACGATTTTTTTTTGGCATTGTTGTATTTTGTCGTAAAGACATCCATTTCCTTTTGTTTGACTGCATCAAGTTTTGAAGATTTTTTGGATCAGCACTTAAATAGTAGATGTTCTTCTCAGCAATGATGATCCCTATAGCATACGTATAATTAGCAATTTTTTTTTTTGCACAGTATGAAGAGCAACACTGTGCTCTACAACCCAGAATGTTGCAGCAATTCTTCAGAAATGATCGAGTTTATTTTGCAATTGCGTGAATCAAGGAATTATAAAAATGTCTTGTGACTCTTGCCAAAGATCTTGTTGTTGATAGACATCTTTCGGAAATCTAATGACCAGGTTGTTATTCTGTAGAGAAAAGTTTACTCTTCTGTTCGATGTTTCTGAAATAAATTTTGACTCTATCTTAGATGATTTGTGTGCACTAGAACTCATCCAAACTTTATTTTCAGACCTTTCAAATACTAACTCATAACTGCTAACCTAAGAGTCACATAAAAATTCTGAACTTAGATTCAGCAAGAGCACATAATTCTGATGCTAACTCACGGTTTTAAAATTTCTGCTTGTCCTCTTAATCGATCGAAAAATGAAGGGACATTGTATCGCAAAACTTTCGATCCACCCATTACTAATCAAAATGATGGGTGTGTTCAGAAAATTTTTCTAACAATACGACGATCGTGAAGTCTTACAAGATGGGACGCAAAATTTTGCGTCCCATCTCATTCTACATGTGACAGAGGATTTTGAAGATAGTTCCATCCCACACGGGACAGTTTGTAGTAGCTCATCTCATAGAACGATTTTTTTCGTTCCATCTCATTCTACGCGAAGCCCTGCTATACACCCTCTACTTGTAGACAAAATTTTAGTACAAAAGCTTTTTAGCATCTAGGAATATTCCATTGTAAGACAAAAAATTTAATAATAGTTGATTATTTAAAATGATTGGCAAAAAAATAATTTCCTATAGTCATTGACATAGAATATTGTGTCGTTTCAAATGAAAAAAAAACAACAATATTTTTTTGCCTAGAATAAGTTACAGAAGATATTTACTTAAGTTATTCGCAGTTAACAAGACCAAATGGCCTGGATTCGTGCAGAGTTGTTCTGATCTCGGAGGAATCTTACTTCCAATAAATAAAAACTTTTTGTTTTTCAGTAAAAAAATGTTAAAAAAACATTTGCAGCTAATATTCAATTAGGAACGTAATGAAGGGAATTCCGTAAGTGACAATGAGAGAAAACATTTTTTTTCATTCTATAACTTTTTTCTTTAACAAAAAGTAGCTTTTGCTGGGAAAAAATTAAATTTTTTTCAATTTGTGGAATGCATATTCCACGTTCGTGATCACATTCCTGAATCAAATGAATGCAAGGAAAAAAAGATGCATTTTGTTGTGCAATACTTACACAGAAAATCTAATTATAATGTTTTCTTTACTTTTCTTTTCTTTTCTTTACTTCCAATCACAACAATGAGTTCAATTAGGTGCCTTCCGTACAATTACAACTTGTCAATTTGATTTCCTTCCGACTTGTTTTTTATACTGCTGTTGTAATTTTTCTAGGAAATTTAATATTTGTATTGCATTAACGTCCATATTCTCTCGTTTGGTTAATGATATTCTGTTCTTTCTATGAAGATTCTTTGTTTGTCAATGTTTTTTCTTTTGTTATATGAATATTCTCTACAGTAAAAATAAAACTTATAAAGAACTCTTTTGAAAATGCCATTAAGAAATGAGAAGCTACTCTGTCATATAACAGTGCGCCTTTTATGCTGAGAAAAAAATGATTTTCATTTTTATAAAAAGCAAATTTGGGCATCATCAACTTCAGTTTTGCTTTCTTTTTAAAACAAAAAACTAAAATTTGTTTTATGAAAACTTAAAAAGCGCACATATTAATGCGTAAAAAAACAAGCTTATTTTTTAATCGATTTTGTTTGACTGGATAGAAATATGAATTGTAATATAAATATACAATGATGTCTCTTGATGATGGGAAGAGAACGTATTCGGTTTTGTTTCTCACTCACTTTCCGCGCGTTCCATAAACATCAATTTCTACAATAGAGTTTTATGGAAAATTTTCCACCAGTTGTGACGAACTTATATACTATCTTGGACGGGAAATTTCTATTGTCCCTTCCAAAGTTGAAAGATCCGATTTAGCTCACCATCGGTATTCAACAGATGAAGACCTAGTCGATTAGAAGAGTATTCAATATGACATGTATCTCTTTCTATTGTAGAAAATTTTCTTTTTTCTTCAATAGGTCAAAATCATTCCCTTGCGTTCTGTTAGAAAGAAAATATTTTCGTTTTCGCTTATCTATGGATACCATGATAATTCACAAGATGCATTCATAATTAGGTAATACAAAGTGTTTACCAAACAGTTTACATAAATGCCAAGAGCTGTAAAAAGAATCCGTTCATTTTTGGTGGAAAAGTTAAAAAATGCTCGATGATTGAGAAGAGAAAGAATATATACCTATTCACAAACGTCATTTCTCAGTTCGATAAAAAAAATGCGTTTTCATGCGTGAAAATATGCTCTTGTCTGACTGAATTATCGCAAAATCTTGTTAGCGCTTTATCAATTGGTGATATTCGTCAAGGAAAATAATGCTCGGAATGAATAAGAGAATACTTCAACCGGATTCTATTGAAAGTTTTTGACATATTGTGACAATTTTATTTCTATTGTGATTATTTCAATGAATAGATGAATCTCTTGTATAGTTATCAATATTAAGCATAGGGTTACCAGATCGAAAAATTAAAAATCAGATTTACTCTGTTTCTGTTCAATTATCTATACTGTATCAAAACGATATTTCATAATTAAAAATGAACAAGAACAATATAAATGTAGAATTAAGTCAGTATGGATAAAACTTCAAAGTAATTCAATTTCGAATATATTTTCTTATAAGACTTAAAATTCATTTTACAATCAGATGCATTATCCAATATGATTTACGACAGTGGCAGATACATCAATTTCGAAACGAAATTCTTCAGCAGCTTCCGAAAGTACACTTTTCAACATATACGATATACCTTTTTTTGGCATATAACTCACAGTAGCATATCAACATTATCAATTTGCTGGTAAAATGTTTGAGAATTACTTAATGGATAGAACATGCGATCAATATGTCGAAAATTTGATAAATCTTTTGCAATAAGATATAATATAATTCTTCTTAATAAAATGTCCCTTTGAAAACATCTACTTTTACTGAACTATTTCAAAAAAACTTGAGTCTTCTAGGATACTACGTGTTTGATATTGAGATAATATAAGAGCACTATGAAAAATTCTTCGACAATAGGTCACCTGCTGTGATGAGCAAAATCAGTGGCTGACAAATATATTGACAGGCAAAACGAACCAAACGAAGATAAACTATATACACATACTGTTTACAAACAGTAGTGAGCAATTAGTATATTTCCGTCAAGTACTAAAAAACCAGAAATCAGAAAAAATTCCAAAAATCGAAAGATCTGATATCTCTGATTAAGTGGTATGAAAGTAACATAATATTTGTAATATGAAAAAGAGACTATCTTCTTTTTACATTTGAAGAATAGGACTTAAAATTCAATAATATCTGTAGATTTTTCTTTTCTTCGACTGAGAGTTGCGAATATCATTTCAAATAATTGACTACTGTTTGTTCTGATATCTTGATATAAATTGAACAATTATCATTAGTATCTATATTAGAATTTTTTTTATTAATGATAGAGTTGTTTAGGTCTTTTTTTAAAATGCTTATACACGGATTATTCAAGTTCAATCTCAAGATTCTATTAATATATGATAATCCAAAAAGAACGAATTGGAGTTTTTTTGACTTTGTTTATTTGTTGAAATTATTTTATTAATATAAGAGCAAAATCTTTGATTAACATCAATAATAATATTTTTTTCCTTTTACAAAGGACAGTAACGTGACATTTCAACAACAGTACAAGAATTTCTACAACAAGTTTCAGTAAGTAATTTCGGTTGTGCAAATCTGTAAATACGATTGCCACTTTTTACTTTTTCTGTATATCGATCTATAGCTTTACAAGCAATATTGATTATACGCCACAGAGTAGGACCACAAGCTTGATAAGCTCTTTGAAGATGACAGTTTTCCACTTTATATAATTTTCCATGAATTATTATTTTTTCACCTTCATTCAGTAGATGAGTTCCATGTTTAATAGTACAATTTGCAATTAATGATGGTGAAATCGTTCGATCTGCATCGGTTTTATTAACTACAATTAGTGACATAAGTAAAAAACCAACAAACAACATCATGATTATAATTACCAGGACGAATATGAAATATTATAATGTTAAAATCTAGAGATAATATTATACTGAGGAAAAAAAAAAGAACATACTTTTTCAAGAATTTATGAAACACTAACTTGATGACGTCAGAGCATTAATGTTTTAAAAAGTTTAAACAGAATGATATGTTTATTTCATTCAATACTTATCAAAACAAAACAAGCTATTAATAAAAGACTATTAAGAAACTCATCATTTGATAAAAATAGTCAAGTGATTAGCGCATAAAGAAAAAGAGATTCAACAGATCGGCTTGTCTAAATATAGCGCTGTTACGTTTTTAACATTCTTTTTTTTGTTTTTAATTATCTCGAAAGGTTCAAGAGCTAGAAAGTTCTTTTGAACGTCATCCGATGCAGCTTATCATATTCTATTTATACTATAAGAATGACCTCTTCCGACTGTAGTTTTGGGATTCTAGGAAAGTTTTATTATTGCGTAACATGAATACACAGGTTTTTATCGGCCAATTTTGAGGTACTTCACGTGATCAGAAATATTTGATTTTCATAATATCTATCCGTTCTACGCAACAATCAAGTTACTACGTCAAAACGAGAACTCATTAACTATATAGTAAGTTGGAAACTGTACAAGTTGTCCTTTACGACGAAAGTCAAAAATAATAGACTGTTTTGTACAGAATTGAATTCTGTATTGAATGGTATATTACTTAGCATTTTTAAGAAAAAATTACTTTGTTAGGAAATTCAAAATACGATTTTTGAATAGTTTAAAATCCAGTTTTTGGATACCAAAATCCAATTTTTCTAAAGAACAAATATCAAATTTGTAATTAACGTGGAAAACTGAACCTAATGATACATTTAGATCTGCCTAACTTTAAAAAAACTATTTTTTTCAAAAACTTGACTAACTGCTATATAGCTAAAACAACATGAACATCTAGAATTTTCGATTTAAGCTTATTCATGTTCACACTTAATCCGTTAAAATATTCTTCAGGTACTTCTAATTGCACTATTACCAATTAAAATAATAACAAATCATTTTGACATCGTATTGATCGGAAAAAAGAACTCTACTATATGCAGTAGCCATTCTTGAATCATTAAGCCATATGTATACTTTTTTGTTCATCTGCTCGCAATATATTGATTATTATGATGGAAATTTTATTGTTTTCAAAATTTTAGGATTTTTAGAATCTAAAAACTAATTCTACTCATTCAATGTTTCACTTCCAGATAATATTTTCAAAATGATAATTTCAATATCAATACAGAATATTCCATGCTGATACATTTGATATATTCCAAGGTTTAGATTCATCTGAGTAAGAAGGACTTGTAGTCAAATTTCCAAATTTTTTTCGGAAAATTTTTGCTCGACAAATGAAAATGAAAAATAAGAATAAGAATTTCATTATAATTTGATTAATAAATATATCTTTCGCTACTTACAATGATAATTAAAAAGAAACTTCATAAAATCAAATGTTTATCCTCCAATAATCTCATATTTGTTAACTAGTCTTTAGATTCTGAAAATGTTGAAATTTCAAAAAACAAAAAACAATTTCGAACATACCATTCAATATATTCTCAAAATGCTTCCAAACACAGAGTTTAATGATTCAAGAAAAGCGACAACATACGACGATGTTAACATTATGTTTTCTTATTATTTTCGATTCTATATTAATGGTAACAACATATTTAAGTGCTGAAGTAATCATCGAATAGTTTAACCTAGCAGAAGAACAGATTTATATAGCAGCTTTTACTAATACCCATTAGAAAATAAATAACAAATATAATTACATAAAAAGATTAAGATTTTCTACGATCAAATGTTTTTTATACCTTAAAAATAAAATGACAAAAAACAAACAACGTGACATTTTGTTCTAACAAAACTAATAAATAATATATTTTTCTACTCATCAAAGTATGATTTATCTTTAGTATTTGTTAATCATCTTTTTGGTAAGATAACGAGAAAGGTCGAATAATCAAAATGATTGCATTCATCTAACAAGTAATGTTTCGTCTTAATGTTTTTTTAGAGCTTTTCTTGAATAAAAAAGAAACATACTTTCTAAAGTTCAAGAGACACTGTGAAAGTTGATTTTATTCATCAATTAACTATTCATAAAGAAAAAGTCATTGATATAATTCGAAAAAAACTATATTCTTCATCAAACAAATCAGTCTGGACTTTTCTTCACCAATTTCTTCCAGTTTTTTATTATATTGAGAATGAGAAGATTTCCAAAGCGCATGACATTTCAGAAAACTCTTCTTATGTAATTGCCATTTCAATTAACAAGATCGACTATGATTTAAATGATTTTACTTTCGTATTTTACAATGGATTCAGTTGCTTAGTAAATAAAATTCTTCATATAAATCTGGTTTACTAATATATAAAAGAAAAAAGATAACGAAACTGGAAAAATTTTTCTGAAAGCTGCAAAGGTGCATATTAAATTATCATGTTGTACGTTTATTCGCAGTACCGTCAGTATAGTGCGGCAGTCATAAAAACTACCGATAGCACTGGCAACATTCGGGTCCAACTATAATAATTGCAGAGACTATTTTCTACCTAAATTCGAATTTGTTATGAAAAAGAATTTAAATTCATCATGAAGAAAAAAACAGTTTCAGAATATATTTTACTGATAAAATTCTTACAGCGCCGTCTATAATAAGAAAAAATTTATCTCAGAACTGGGACCAATTTGGACTCTATGATTAGTACAGACGGTTTAGACGCATCCACGTTACCGAAGTACGTTGATATCGACTCAAATATCTCAGTTTTAACAGACTTCATAAATATTCACCCATTTTGATACAATGCATTTTGACACAACACGTTCGAAAAAACAACGACGGTTTTTGTCTGGTTCGAATCACATAAGTTTTTAAAAGTGGAAAGGTACAATTTTTTTTTCATTCTACGATCTTGTATTTCAATCAAAAGAACAATTTGTACTGAGAAAAAATTTACAACTTTTCCAAATAGGAGGTGTGCACCGGCTACTCCTCCTGTCTTATCACCACATTTCTGCGAAATTCAATCAAGAAAGGTATCATGGTTACATTGGATTTGTTAGTTTCTCTTTTTTCTTGTTCTTTTCTTTCTATTCGTTCTCTTTTAAATGTCTACTAGTTACGGAAACAGAAAAGATTGTAAATAGTTTGTAATCAATTTAAATCGTTTGAACACAACATGGAATATTGGTCGCACGGTTCGAAGTACAATATTTAATGAATGTCTTGAATCAACGGATAGCGCTGCTAAATTTGCTGCTGTATGAAGAAGTAAAAATGTGTAGGGTGTATTGAACAAAAAAGTTCGTGGAAAAGTGTTTAATACATTATTACAAGTAGAAAAAGAAGATGCAAAATAATTAAGGAAATTTTCGAGAGCAAAATCTGCAAAAATGATAGATGAAATATCTGATCAAGTATTCTTAGTCATAGAAAACAATGAGGAGTATGGTCATATACATGGACTTTTTATTATAATTTACTTTTTTGAAAAAAATATCTTTCCATCAAATGTTTATAAATATGTCACTGCTCTAGAAATAAAAATGTTACAAAAATCAAATACGAAAATTCATGTCTTTTAATCTTATCCATAGATTTCAGAACTAGTTTTACCTAGATATCTGAAACTTTGGAAAATTAAAAATCTTATTTAGATATATGTGCTAAAAACTTTAGTCTTCCACATCAAAAAACAAGTATGAAAAATGTCATTGATAATTTATGTTCAGTTATTATCTATGTGCAATGTAAAAATTTTGTCTACCCTACAAGATCTTGCGAATTAGACAAGGATTTTGATTGACAAGAGAAAAAATCTCTAACCTGGAAAGAGTCTTGCAATTCAAATCTGATTGTTTTCATTATAGTCTAGTCTCAATTTCATAGGATTATCAAGCAAGATTCTTGTGCTTTACATTTATAATTACTATATGAACATGCTATATCTTTATTTTCACTGTTATTTCATTGTCAGAAATTTTCACAGGAAGTAGTTAGTAATACAAAAAGAAATAATCAATAAAAATAATAAGAAAAAAAGAAGCAGAAGTTGATAATTATTTACATACAAAAAGGTTCATCAACTCGGCTATAAAAACTTCGTCAAAAATAACATTATCTGTTTAAATATTAAATTAGTTTGTTTGCGTAGCATGATAACAGTAAAATGTTTATTATAAAAATGAGCAAAGTAGCATGTGCATGCAATTTCTATAGACATATAAGAGACGAAGAAAGACTATCCACGTCGTTTATTGTTCACCGAAATTGATGATTTGAACGGTTTACTCCTTTTTTTTTTTATGAAGTTTGTTTTGGTTTTGCTACTAAAGTAATATTTTCTGTCTGGAATAGATCGATCAAAAAATATCGATATTTTAATTTGTCACAGTAAATTATATAAGATGACATCGCACTTTTTCTTATTGTTGAAGTATTCAAATTAATGACTATTTTTGTGGATCAATCTGTAACAAATAATGAAGTTTGAAAACTAAGCGAAAACAGTCGATGTGTTTAATACAGACAGATTGAGTGCACCTGCATTGTTGGCAACCGTAATTTTGACTGAAACCTAACATTTTTCTAAGAGTCTAAAAATATTCATGTAGTAAGACATTAAAAAAATCAAGGAAAAGAACTGCTGTTAGTCGAACAGTAAACCGCCAATTTTCGAAGCATGAGTATCTATCATTCTGCTCTTGAAGAATCTTCTTATCATTCTGTTAATTTGAGAAGAAGACTCTTCACTGAACATCAAAACGGAAAAGTATCCTCTTGATTATGTCAAGAAAGAAAAAGAATAGAGACACGAACATGGATTTGTGAAGCTAGTCCTCCATATTGTCATTATAGAAATAAATTACTGAAAAGAAAAGGTAGCGAAGTAGAAAATGAGTTTATAACTCATTGATCTAAGAAGAAACACGAACAACAGAA